CATGAAGAAAACCCACAATACTCAGTACAGTACAAAGCCAAGGGTCAAATAACTCCGTCATGACTAACACGTCAAATCAGTGTAAACCGTCAGCAGCTTACAAGTGTTAACAACGACTCAAGCACATCAGTCAATTACAACCGCCAGCAAAACTCAAATGCGCCAGTCAACTACAACCGTCAGTAATTTACAAGATCCAACAACGACTCAAGCCAGACAATTGCAACCGCCAGCACAAATGCGTCCGTCAAGTACAAACGTCAGCAACGCCTCACTCTATTACCAACGGCCACTCCAATCTTGCGACTAAGGCCACATCCACGTCATATACGGATACCACCTTAAGCCGACCAACACTCATCAAGATCTTCTACTCTAATTATCGTCATCGTTATCGACAGAACTATTGGTGATCTTCTAGTTACTTAGTGTTGTGAATTTTGAGCGCTTTGTTGTTTAAGTAATATTTTAATCTTTACACTGTATAGGCATATCTCACAAACATTTAGCAATATTGTTTTAGTTGTAATGTTCACATTAGCAATATTGTTTTAGTTGTAACGTTCACATTTTTGTGCTGTTGTACTGTTAACGATCAATTTCTCAATCGCAACAAGACGACTTCAACAATAACGACAATTCTCAGAGTTCAAAGGCGGGGAGGATGCAAAGGGCATTGCTGTTCTTTCCGTTGTTTTATTGACGTCATTCTTTTGGCGTGCGGAGTGTCGTGAACTCTCGTTCACGATCATGAAGACCGCACCACGGGGTATGAGTCATATGTCCCGCCTACCTCGGTGGCTACATAGACCGCCCCTTTTCGGCCGTATAAATACCGCATTCTGAGAGGAACGGGCAGTTTCCGGTACTTCGCCGGCAGCCGACTCCTCTCCAGCGACGGCCAACAAGCAATCCAATCCAACAAACCAATACCAACGCCTGTCGGACTCGCCATGACAAATTGCAAGACAATAACAAAGGCAAGACAACCCAATAGCACATAGCTCAAACAAGGCGCTCAACAAATAGGTTTTACATTACAAGTACTGTATGTATGTGTCTTCATGATGTAATGTTTTGTAGCAATAAAGCTAAAACGAAACCGTGCATGAACCACCAAAACAACATTGGACCGTGATGCAGTCCAAACAATTTTGTGAGTCGATGATAACATTAGATTCGAGTTAACAAAGAATTTTCAGATATGATCCTGTTCCATATACAAGCTGGCTACGTGTTGTCCCACTGTCTGTTTCCGTTGGTTTGGTGTGCGAAAGGTGTTGAACCACACCAAGCATTCTTGTGAAAGGTCAGAAGGTAGAATAAAGTTTAGTCGCACATCTAACGTGTAATCAAAGCTAAACAATGGCTAAAGGATAAAAGGATAAAGCATTTGCCGTTGATCAATCCCTTTTTGGGATGCGGCACGCATTCTACTTCCATTTGTACATTCGCAGTGGCGTTTGAATGCGATGTGGCCTATACAATGACTTGCGGGGGCCAGCCGATGTACAAGTCAGTGTTTTTATCCTCCCAGACAAGTCTGGTACCAATTAACCGACCCCGGAGGGATGGAAGGCTTGGTTGGCCCGGGCGACTCACGACCCAGGATTTGATCCCGGACCGCTCGCGTGGTAAGCGCGCCACTTGTCACTACACCACTTCCGCCCTGTAAGCTATGTCTTATTCAATTCTAATTACAATATCCGATACTCGAGAGTTGAGATAGGCGTGTCACCGGAAGTGACGTGCGCTTGATATTCGCTATGTGGATAAGCTGCTTTCCACACACACATTGCTGGATACCAGGAAAGCATGCTGGCAAAAGCACTGGGGGGGGCGCAACTTTTATCAACGTGCACATCTTTCCGTAGCCCCCTTACCCTAGCATTCGGGTATCGACTGTAGTTATTTAAAGACGGTGGAACCATAGTCCATAGTCAAGTCATATCACCCTTCTTTACAAATAACTTTCCGCTTCCCATTGGAGCATCACCCACTGCAAGGTGAAGTCAACCCTTTGCCACGAGTATCGCTAGCCGAAGAGCTTATGTATGGTAAGATTAGAGGGTTTGCATTATGGTGGTGTCTGTTCTGCCATTTTCGTCTTGAGAGCTTGATTTGTTTAGTTGCCCAAAATAAGGATCCAAAATGGCCCAGTGTAACTCTATGGAGTACCACGAACTACACAAATTCTCCAAATTGTTGAGGTCGAGCATCTGGAAGTCGCTAGGCTGTGAATTAGTCAGTCTCTCGATGACGCCGTTGTGGTCGGATCGACTATGAAGGGGTTCTCCCTCTCAGCGATTTGAAAAGATCCAAAAATCAAATCATGTTAGGAGGGCATACGGGACGAGGGGAAACATCAATTCGTAACTTCAGCGAAACAGCCAGCGTATTTAGACTTGCGTGGTTTTGTGCCGATCAGTACCGGGTTGACCCATAATTTCTGGCCGATTTTGGTTCAAATTCAATTTTCTTCATGTCAAATTAGCTTCATGATGAAATAAGTTAATATGTTGAAGAACACATCAGGACCTTCAGCCAGGATGTTCAGAAGCTCAAATGCGCAAAGGGATAATTAAGTAGGAATCAAAATAGATCAACAACCAAACCCAACGATTTTGCCTTGCGACAATTTTAAGAAGAACCTTGCAAGGAGCGCGGTAGGCAAGATCAGCGCTACGTTTGCCCCAGTCTTTGCTACTGATCGGGCACTGAGCTATTGGCTCAATAGCATCGGCAAATACGATAGGAGCTGCAAAGTTCGACCTCATCATGGACCTCCAGTCACTTTCGATGAGGACCCCTTGCGCAACGAATAGGAAGTGCATCCGACGCTATTAGCAGGAAACTGTAGCAAACATCTGGACGCAGCCTACGCTCCATGAGTCGACACCTGAATGGAAGGGGCTGTAGCAGAATGAAGTTCGATGGAAACAGCATGCATCGACTGACCATGACCGAGAAGCACGCCTGACCATCTGCAGAAGTTTCATTCTGCGACCGTATAGACAAGACATTCCCTAGTTGGTCACCAGTGCAGATGAGTCATGAGTCCACTACGATAACAACACGCGGCACGCCTGGTGGCTACCTCGCAGCCTGGACCACCATCTCAACCAAAACCCGAGCTCTTTCATCAGAGGATATTACCCCCGTTTTGTTGGATTCGCTGGGTATCCCGTTTTGAGAACCATTTCACTTTATGCAGACAAGCATTGCGAAGGTAACCATGGAATAGCTTCCAAAGTTGGCCGCAGCAGTGCGGGAGACGGTTGGAAAAGTCTCAAAATCCCCTTTACCCGCAGAACCTCGCCGCCGCCGAGATGCCTCACACCGAAAATTCCGTGTAAACTAGTTATGGTGCTCTTCCTATGGTGCTCTTCTATCAAGCATGCTGCACATAGATATCATGAAGGTTGCTAATAATTACCAGAATGTCAAAAATATTTCAAATGCGCAAAGAAGGAAATTTAAGGTGGCACCCACCATTGGGTGCCATTGTCCCACGCGGCGACATAGTGGCACCCACCGGTGGGTGCCATTGTCGCCAAAGGGTTAACGAGAAGGCTGACGCGCATTCCTGTCAGACGTTGCAGGCCACATGAGGGCATCCGACGCGCATGTACGGATTCACAATTATGCATTCCTTTTTTGCGAGTCCAATCCGAGTTTTTGTATTTATTCTATAGACAATAAAGTAACCCAGAAAATACCTTATCATCAGCTCAGTTACCACTTTGTATCTCTTCCATTGTCATGAACATTCAAATAGAAATTTATAGAAGAGGTAAATAAAAAATACTAAAGATGGCAAATTTTGGGTTTTCAGGGGAACAACCGAAGCAATCACTTTGGCGTCCTTGCAGGGAGAGTTAATAGTTTACTAATTGTCACTAGGCGTCCTTCCAAACAAAATCCTATTTTTAGATCTCCTGGTTACTTCGATGTTTTATCACCGCTGAAATTTCTTTGTGAAATTCATGTTTTTTCACAAAAAACGCTCCTATCAGACGAAGGCTAAATGCTTTGGATCGGGAGCGGTCGTCCTCCCAACCCTCCAAACTCCTCGCTCAAGTGGCTCGGGGCCCTCCGCGGCTTCTCCCAAATGCAACGTCATCTTACGGGTCCTTCCCGGAGACCATGCTGGTTTCCCTCCCAGCGTGACATCCGCCACCGCAGCGTCACGGGTTCCTAACCCAGGAAGGGGGTTTGGATACAACAACCCGCGGGGCAAGGCCCACCGTCGGCCCTAGGCTTTCCCACCCCCGGAGCCGAGGGCCCCTCGCCAAAGGCTACAACCCTGCAATAAAAACAGCACACAAGAAAACAATTGCGCCTTAGACGGCCAAGCCCTGGCGCCCCTATACAAAGCCCCTACCGAACAACTACGGTGAGTGTACTTTAGAAAATGGCCACGCTGAGGATTTTTGCAAAATTAACGAGGAAAATTCGTGATGAGTGCGAGTTTTTACGCTTTCCAAAGCCATAACTCCGTTCAAACTCATCCAATCTGAAAAGTTAATACGTCATCATAAACTAGAAGATTTGCTCTATTCAATGGTTACTAGAACTGCTAATACGTTCACTATTTAAAAAATGGCCACGTTGAGGATTTTTGCCCGAGTACCGCCGAAAGGTACTTTTTCGCTGCATTGGCCCTATTTCAGTTTCTTTGAAGGCTTTCATGGTGATCGAAAGGAGGTTTGGTGAAAACAGAGTCAGCTCGGGAGAAGCCATTTTCGCTACAGAATGACGCGATAGGGTTAAGTGCGACGTAACGGTCCCACGCCACCGTCTCAGTGAAGATCAGATATGAGTGCTCTCCCTCTGAACTGAAACATTTTCACCAGGGCAATTTAATGTCTGTAACTCTGTGCCTACAAATTGTTTACTTTCAATCGAAAAGGTAGGAAATAGGCAAACTGCATTGCAATTCAATAACACATAATCAACTTCAAAATGAAAGATCACAGATGAGTCATTCGTCAGAGCGTTCAGATCAGCGTACAGCCTTTCTTCTCACGGAATGGATTCTGCGCATCAGTCGTGCCACTCACCAGCGTGTCAGTTGCTTTGTGTTTCTCGCAATAGTCCAGCAGGCTGAATAGAAACTTTTCTGTAAGAAATAAAAAAGACGAATGAATGAATCTTTAAACTATAGCATCCATTTTAGGATGACACCGTTATTACCCATAACTCTGGCAGTGATGAAAGCCATCAAAATGACGAGGATTGGTCGGCGCTATTCGAGACCACACGCCAGGACCAACTTATTTGCTTTTCCTTGAGAGCCGAGCAGGTATTCGGATGTATTTTCAACCCACATCATTATTCACGAGAATAGCCGATGGAAAGATAACGGTCATTTTACTTCGATACAGGTAAAGCGTGAGAAGTGAGGTGCTGAGCGATGCGGTAGTGATAAACAAGCAAAGAGGGACTGCCAAGAACATGGTTACTCAAGCCTCTCAGCAAGAATTTTGATGCATTTGGTACACACATGCGAATTTGCACACTGGACCCAGGAATTTTCAGAAGAAAGTATAAAAATTGGGGGAAAGTTAAATTGTGAACCAACAATAGAAGACGGTAAGCAACATATTTCGCAATATTAATGAGCAAAAACTGCCTTCTGGGATATTGATTTTCCATAGTAATCGGCCCCAAAACTTCCTGAACTCAGAAAAGCGACACTAAGATATCCGGTACCTAATATAACAACGGGGAAGTGGACGATTAAGATG